TATATATATATATATATATATATATATATATATATATATATATATATATATGCCATAGTTTTTCTTCTACTGTTTTTTCTTCTCTTATTATATTATATTATTCTCCTATTATAATTTTTTATTCCGTATATTGGCACAAGAACAATAATTAGTGGTATATCGCCAGTGGTGATCATGGGCACTCTTCTAGCTTTAGTCGAACAAGGTTATGGAGAAGCTAAAAAACTAGATACAATTCTCTGCATTGCTGCTTGCATCGATGCTGTATACATTATTTTCCTGTTCGTGATTTGTTTTTCGATTGTCTTTACTACCGGTAAGCTACCGTTCGTTATTAAACTGAAATAAAATATAAAAACAATAATTTCTTGATTTTTAATAATAAAATAGAAAATTATTTTCTACAGTTTTATTCGATTTTAATATTTGATTTATATTCAATTTCAATTTCGATTTTTTCATTCTATTTGTTAAATTTTTGTTTTCTGCGTTAAATAACATAATATTGATTATTTTTGATTATTTTTTCAGATGAATATAAAAATAAATGGTGGTTATTTATATCCATCCGTCTTCGCGATTTAATTGTGTGCATTTTAATGGGAATATTTCTAGGGATTTGTTTTATCTTTTTCCCCCATCGTAGTCATGTAGGTATTCTATGTGTCTCTCTTTTTTTACTATTTTCTATTACTATTTTTTTGCTATTACTACTATTACTTCTTTCTCTCTCTCTTTCTCTCTCTTGCTTTGTTTCATTTATTAAACCAATTAGAGACACGTGGATCGCTATCGTGTAATCTGCTTGGTACTCGGCTCTTTGATGTGCACCACAGGAATTTCGAAGATAAGCATCTCCGGTGTAGGATATTTATCCACTTTAATGTTGTCATTTATCAGCATAACGGGTTGGAAAATTTTGTCGCATAAATTTGATGTGAGTATCAATTTTCAAGTTCATTTTCTGATAAGTACATGTAAAGATTGCTAAATATATTTAGTCAGCTAATTTACGAAGAATAATGCATACACTTTGGAAAATAGCACAACCAATTTTGATCGGAGTTATGGGTGCTGACATTGATATCACATTGTGGACTCTATCCAAATTTGGATTACATTTATTTTGCATTCTCATTGGATTAATGGTAAATTTATAACCTTAATAAAATTTAAAACTTTAATAAAGAAGAATCTTAATTATTAAAATAAAAATTTTGGAAGCAACATGAAACAAAAAATATTTAAATTTCAATTAATTTAAAAAATTTATTAATTTTTTTCTTAATAACAATCATTTGAAAAATAGTGATATAGCAAAATACTAGTCACTTTGTAGATATATAAAACTGGTGGAAGAAAATGATTTTGAAAAAATCTATAAATATTTATTGTTTTGAATTAAATATTTATTATTATTTTATATGTAAAAACAAAATTTTTTATATTAACAAAAATAGCAAAAATATTGAAAAATTCATGATAAACAAATTAATCCAAACAAAATTAATCTAAACAAAGTATACAGTTCAGATAATTGTTTCGTTAAATGATGTTTTAATAATCGAATTTGTTAATCACAGAAGATATAATTGATTTATTCTAATAATTAAGATTCTATTTTATTTGGTTAAATTCTCTGCTTACACGATTAATTTAAACAAATATATTTTTTGTTATATACGAGCATAGGGACGATGCGTTACCGCTTATAGTGTAGCATGGTCGATTAGTTCATTTACATGGAAAGAACGACTGTTCTTAATTACAGCTTCTGTACCAAAAGGTACTTTGCAGGTATACAGTTTTGATTATGTTATATAATAGTTGGATCAAATTGAATATATATTTATAAATGCAAATCAAGTTCAATGTTTAAATTTTATTTTATAAGATTCAAATTATTCATAAAATATAATTCATTATATAATTCATTCATTACACTTTCGAAATATTTGATCTTCTTTGATCAATTGGTTTCGAATTTTGTTTCCTTCGAAATATTTATAAAGGATATGAATCTATTATTCGAATTTACTTGTGATATTCGATATACTTGATCTTATTAATAGATATTCATTATATCTCTATTTATCAATTCAAAAATTCATAATTTAAATTATTTATTAATTAAAGGCAGCTTTAGGACCATTAGCATATGAACAATTGCGGAACAACGAAGGAAACGAGGAATTTGAAATGGCTTTGGACATCGTTAGGTTATCCGTACTTACCTTTTTCCTAGCACCGATCGGATATTTTTTGATGAACTACATCGGACCGATTTTCCTTGAAAAAATTACTGAAGAGCAACGTCAAAAAGAACGCGAATTAAGTTATTTGCGAATTCTTTCTCTTTTGCCAGAATCATCTAAAAATCAGGAATAGTAAAACTGTGCATCACATGCTTTTTCCATAGAATCAATCGATTGCTGACATTGCAACATCGACGACTATGATCGATCAATCAGAGTTGTCGATATTTTCGCGATAAATGTTGCATATCGCTATAATATAAAATTTAGTAAGCTTGACATGTATTAAAGCTTTTATAGATAGATAGTCATCCAATTGCTATATAATTTTTTATCACTTTTCCAGAACTGATTTGTTACGAATTTATGATTTTTATTTCATATTTTATCCTTAAAATAAGAAAAAATTTTTCATAATTTATAAAACTTTGTACTTGTAATGTTATAAATTTACATAATCTTATATTGTCATAATCTCTTGACTTATATCCTAATTGTATATTATTGATCAATTATGTATGCAACAGTTATTGTTAAAAACTTCTTTCATTAAAATTAAGCTTGTTTGTTAAAATATATTTTAAGAATAAAACTCTTGTAATCTTAACTTGTAAACGTTTGTACTTAATAGAATATCGGGCGAAATACAGGATAGATTTAACATTTAATAGGACTTTGTATCTTTTCTTTTGAAATACCGATTGCGTAAAATTATATATATATATATTAAAATATTAAATATTATATATAGAATATTCTTATATATTATTAGATTATATTCATAAATTTTTCGATTACTTTGAATTGATTACTAGATTCATTTATAAATTAATTATTCATGAATTAAAATTTATACTTGTATTTTTTATTATAATATAAAAATAATATCAACTTATGAAATTTATTTATTTATTTATATTATTTATTTATTACTATTACAAAAAATTATAAATATTAATATTTATGTAACACAAATAACAAAATATAAAGAATTTAAAATTTATAAAATTTTTAATCTATCTAACTTTTAATATATTAAAAAAAATTAAAGAGGAAATAAGCAAAGAAGAAATTAAAATCATCTTTTAGACATAAATCTTTGCAAAGTAAATATTAATAAAAAAAAACAAATATTAGAACATAAATACGGAGAAATTAAGGAATTAGCGCCATCTTTAGAATGCCATAAATGAAATACAGATAAGAAAAAAAATAAAAGGGATAGAGCAAAAATTTAAGATCAGCGCTATCAAAATGCTATATATGAAATTAAATATGAACAAGAAGAGCAAATAATGAAAGAAGAGTAAAGATAAGAATAGGATAGAAATAACCATTAGCGTCATCTCTTAAGAGATTTTTTTTGGAAATAATTCTTTTTCTAGTTCTTAAGAGATGGCATTAATGGTTACTTCTTATTCTATTTCTATCTTTTTCTAATATTTATTTTCTATCTTTGTGTGTTTAACCTACGACATTCCAGAGATGGCGTTGATTCTTTAATTTGTATTTTCTATCTTTGTCTTTTTTTTACTATTAATATTTGTTCATATATAATTATGACCAGAGACAAAATATTGAATGTCAATTGAATATATTTTCATTATTTCTTTTTAAAAACTACAATATGTTTTAATTTTTAATGTAAAATTTATTACATTTTCAGAATTACTACTCACGTAGTTTACTTATATATAATATAGGTATATAGGTATTTTGATAGTAGTGCTGATGACAGTATCTAACCTAGTAATAAAAGAAACAAGAAGGAATTTTGAAACATTTTAAAGAAAAATAACGAATTTTCATTTGTCAAATCTATATATTATATATATATATTCATTATTTATAATCTTGTAAAGCGAATGCTCTTATAAAACATGTAGTTAAAATATTAATTATTGTTATTGAATATAAGATAATAAAGATTTAATATTATTTAGTTTTATGAAAAAAATATAAAAAAAATTAAAAAATTCACAAATTAGTTTTATAATTCAAGATTTAGAAGTTATTTACAAAATATTGATATTTAACGTTTGCTATTGTATTTTATATTATTGTTTTATTGTATGTTATCATTTAATTTCATTTTTTATTTCATTGTATAATTTAAAAAAAAAACTTACACATTATTATATAATAACTTCAATTGCTTAATATAATAACTTAATTTATATATTAATTATAAATAAAAAACATTTAAATAAAAATGTCAAATTAATGCTTACAGTTTAAGTTTCGGATTGATTAGCAAAGTAGTATTGATAATATTTATATTTATAAATAGATTTCATACTTATCACTTTTTTGTCTCTACATATATATCTTTAGTAGATCTACAATTATTTTAAATAATATAATGCAATAGCATAATGTAGTTCTAACGAAAATAACTTTTAACCTGTTTGTAGAAATGAATCTGATTTTTGTACCATTTAGATTATTATTGGATAGTTTTAAGGTTAGTAAATAAAAGTTTTTGTTTTGTTTGAATGTTTTATATTTTAATATAAAACATATACCAATGATACTTTATGTATGGTAATAAGTAAAGTGGTATAAGTACTATAATTATGTATCAAGGATTATTAAATATGGTCGGGAAAAATGAGATATTACTCGTTGGATCTCTTTTAATACTTTTTTGCAAACAAGTATCTTCGGAATGTAGACAATTAACGGCTTGTTCGTGTATGTTTTCTAATGGACAAGGTTATAACTTGTCACCTCTGAGTAACTCAAGGTCAGTAGATAAAAAATTCTAACCTCTTTACGTTTTACGCATTAGTTTCTAATCGAAAATAAATATTTGTTAGCCTAACAGCCACCGATGATTTGACTAATTTCACTTTTTATTATCATCCTTGTACGAATATACCATTAGGCAATAAATCGACCGATTGTTATAAAGGCGTTTCTGTAAGTAAAATTCAAATTCATTAATAGCATAAATTTGTTTAATAAGTTTTATTGTCAATATTATTTAATATACTTTGTTTACATTCTAGTTATGTGCTATACACGACAATCATACTTTTAGCCTAGGTAAAGCAGAAGAAACAAGAATAATTGTCGAAATAGATAATGCGAAACCGCCCGTTTTCATTCTTCATAATGAAAATAATAGTATAACAACAATAGCCCTAGCTTGCTGTAATAATTTATGTGGTACTCATTTATATGTGGATTCTGTCAATGTTGATAAGAATGAATACGTATGTTTTACATTTTCTAATTCTAAAAAAATAATATATTTTTTATTGTATGTTAAATATGCTTGCTTATATTTTCTTGCTTCAGCATCTAATATTGACGTCTTCTTATGCTTGTAAAACGACGCAAATTAAAAGTCTTTCTACTGGTTCTATATTGCTTATCTATTTTTTTATATTAACTGGAATATATTTTATTGGAGGAACAATAATTTTAAAGTTTTTAAGAGGAGCAACTGGTTGGGAAATGGTACCTAATCATGAATTTTGGCGGAACCTTCCTTCACTTGTTAAAGTAAGTTGAATTCATATTATATTTTGATTGAATTTATATTATATTCCATTATTTTTTTATATTAATATAATTATAATACATTATAAAATTAAAAAATTTTATTTTATTTTCACAGGATGGAGTTGTATTTACTTTTAATTGTTGTCGCTTAGACAGTTATGAAAGAATATAAATTTATATAATTACAGTTTAAAAATACAATGTAAATTTGATAGATCATAAAAAGTGCTCTTGTGGTTTCAATTAGCGAATAAACGCTAAAATAATTTTTTATTGTAAAATTATCAATGAATATATTCTTTAAGATGTGTACATTTTTCATAAACATAAATGCAAATGTGTATATGCGTATAACGCATTGTGCGTTCATAGTGTTTGATACTGTGTGAAAATAGCTGAATATTTAATTATGTTACATATATATAATATTAATAATTTTATGATATATGTAATATTTTATTAACGATTATTAATAATATAAAAATATAAATACTTATATATAAACTACATATATCTTATATACATACACGTGTGCTCGCACACATATATATTTTTGTATATTTTTATTTTATAATACACGTGTACGTATGAAAGATTTATAAAAATGTTTAAATATGTGCGATCATGATGTTTTAAATAAAAACACAATTTACTGCGTTTTTAGTTTCAACAAAATTAAACGATGCGCTATTTGTGTATCAATAATAGAGATATATCGGATTTAACAAGTGGAAGTGACCTATTTTAGATTTTAAAATACTGTGTTTTTTCTTTTTTATATAAAAAAAATGGAATAAATATAAATATGCGATTTAATGTCACATATTTATCAAACGTTATAAATAAAAAAGCATTAATTTCAAAAGAATTCAATACCATTGACAGGTATAGAAACTTCTCGATCAGTTTGAATAATCATCCAACTTCCATTGGTATTCAAGTTGCAAATATTGATGTTTTTCAAGGAAAAAACGTTTACAATTTGCGCTAAATCTTGTATATTACTTGTTTGATATAAAGAGATGTAATCTCCTAAAGTTATTCCATCAGAAAATAATGCGTCATCTAGTGAGAGTAATATCGGTTTGTTGTTACGAACGGTTCCTGCATAAAAATAAGAAATAAATCAACAATGCAATAATCTTTATTTCATTCTTACCTTTGATCCAATGACCCTCAGCTTGAATAACAATTGCTTCGATATTCGTTGACTCCTTGTAGCTTTTTTTGATATCAATACCTATTTCTTGTGCTAATGTTGGTGCATTGATCAAATTTAAACCATTTTTCGTTTGCCCTGATAAGATTCCAACAAGAACAGCTGTATGAATGAATGTTTTTTTTTCCATTTCTTTATTGCCAATAATTTGATTATGTATGGTTACATTCAATTTTCCTTTTAAAATACGACTGATCAAATTGCCTAATTTTTTCGATAATTCAATCCATGATGCGTTTTCATCTGACATAGCAGCACTCAACATTGGAGCATTTACGATTCCAGTAATTACATATTCCGTCGATTTACCGGCTAACACCAAAAATTGTTGGGCTATTTCTTCGGCAACTCGTTGCTGAGCTTCTTCAGTACTTGCTCCTATACCATATAAAAAAAATTATTAGTTTTTCGAAAATAAATTTTATTTTATTTATCTTATCTTACCTAGATGAGGAGTAGAGATAACTTTAGGATGTGCAATCAATTCCAGAGTAACAGAGTTTTTTGGCGGTTCTTCTATAAAAACATCCAAAGCAGCGCCAGCACAGTGGCCCGATTTTAACGCATTTAACAATGCCTCTTCATCTACGATGCCACCACGAGCCACATTTATGATACGTACTCCCTTTTTACATTTCGACAATGTTGTAGCGTTGACCAAATCTAAAACAATTAGTAATTAATTATTAATAATAAACGATTTATTAAAAATTGAGAAGCAGTTACTTCATAAATATTAGATATAATTAAAAGATGGTACTTTTCGTTTGAGGAATAAGTGGTGTATGTACAGTAATATAATCAGCTATTGGCCATATCTCATCCAAAGAAAATTTTTCGATATTGAGATGATTTGCGTCTTCAGATGTGAGTAGGGGATCGAAGGCGATCACTCGCATTCCATATGCTTGCATCCTTCGTGTCACTTCGCGTCCAATACGACCCATTCCAAGTACAGCAAGAGTTTTCCCGGATAACTCGAAACCGGAGTACAATTTTCTGTCCCATCTTCCGTCTTTCAATGATTGAACTGCTTGAGTAACATTACGCGCCAAATTAGAGATTAGAGCGCATGTTAATTCACAAGCGCTGATGCTGTTTCCACCGGGAGTACTGAAAAAATTCAAATCGGTTAGTGTTTTCTTTTAAAGTTAAATAAAATTAAAAAGAATAAAAAAAAAAATGAGTATACTTCAACACAATGACTCCTTTTCGCGTGGCAGCTTCAAGATCGATGTTATCAACACCAGTACCAGCTCGACCAACAACGCGAAGATTTGGACAACAAGCGAATACATCGGCAGTTACTTTTGTTTCTGATCGGACAATCAATCCTTCGTGATTCTGTTTTGAACACATGTATGTATATATATTATATAAATGCAGTTAGGCTTTGCATTGTTTTTTTTTAAATTGTTTCGATTTTTCTTTATGAATAAGTTATTATGAAGATTGCACATAACTGTGCATTCGTAGATGTATATACATGATAGAAGGGGAACTTGGGTGAAGTTAAGTACAACGACCCAATGAACCGGTATTCACATTCGCCAACTAAACTGGTTCTAGCCGGTTGAATCGACTAGAATGTAAGTGGTAATTTAGTGAGATTAAAGAATGAAAAGTGGAGGAAGGAAGAACGAGAAAGTTGAACTGTTATACATGTTATATTGAAATAACGTAAACGTTAGTTTTTTCAATCAAAACAAAAAAATATGAAGTAATTATAACAATTTTTAATTTCATCGCGATTCTTCAAAAATATCTGCTAATATGAAATTGAAATATTTGCAAAGAAGAAAGAGAAAAACAGAAAAAAAATTTAAATTAATGTCAAATTTATGCATACCTGTAACTCTTTTATCAGTTTTTCCTTTGATAATTTATATTTGGTGGTAACTGGAATACCATGACGAACAAGTAGTTCACCGCAACATGCGTCTACGGGATCGCTTATGAGAACACTTCTAAGTGTGGTTGACATACTATCCTTGAATAAACAGAATTTAAATATCTTGATTTCCGCTACTAACATATATCTTTTATTTGTATTTTCCATAATTCTATTTACATAAATAACAACGAACCGGTTGTTTTTATTTTACACGATTTGTTCTTATGTTCAAATTATTTGTAAATTAAATTCCTTTTCTATAACGTTTGAATATGATTTATATACTAAAAACAGTGACGAATTTGATTCTTACGATATGTAAATAGTTATTATGTAAGTGAACGCGTAGAATATGCAGCATGAAAAATTATAATGCATTTGCAACGCGATCAAAACAATAGAATGTCATTCGTTTATTTGATGTATGATCGATGGAGAAATGTCGATTGATTGACACATACCTTGAAGAAATGTTTTTCAATGCAGTTGAATATATATCTCTGACGATACGTTGAAAACGAGCGTAAATTTCTACCGTTGCGTTCGGCAATCCAACCGTAAACTGTCTGTTCATTGGTGATATATCTTCTTATAGTGGTGTCCCCACTCGATCAGTGAAGCGCGCATCTACCGTCACTCATTATACATTTCGTTATTTTCGTTGAAATTACTATTGTTTTAAATAAAAAAACGACTATTTGGACGATTTGGAAAGATTATTCGATTAATATGATAAATTTTTTGCTACATAATATTTTATAAGTTTTTTATTTGATAATAGAGATCAAATATTCTTTATAAAATCGATTGCTAAATTATTTTTTAATAGATTTAATTTTTGTGATTTCAATTGAATACGAATTTCAAAGTAAGTACTTTTGTTTAATAAGAAAGCGATTATATTTATTACAATGATTATCACAGTCTAAGATAATGATTTTCAGGTTAAAAAAAAATTATCGTTTATTGTTTTTAAATTCGTTTATGTTCATATTGTGTTTTATGAATTCTTTTTCATTTCCATTAATTATTTCTGAAAAATTGAAAAAAAATATTTAGTTCGCATTACACATACTCGATATACATCTATTGCAGACAGCAAAATATATTTTCCATTCTGGGGTCATCTAATGTTACGTGATGCAATTTCTGCTGGGGGTCTGATTTAGCAATAATAATAATTATTACATCGTTATCACGAGTTCTCGGCACTCATTTATTTATTTTATTTTTTTTCTTTTTTCGTTTTGTGAGATAAAACGTGAAACACTGCGGGTCTGATACATCCACGCGGCGTCCAATTTACTCGAACTTTGAACATATCAATCAATGTTTTCCCATCGTTTTTCATTTTTCCAATTTCTTTTTTAATTATTTATTTTTATATTTCTTTGCTTATTTGTTTACGGTTTCTATTATCTTACATTCGAAAATGTTTCAAAGATGTTTGCAAATAACGACAAATATAAGCATATAATTTGAATAGTTATATTCTTTTTAATGAGAAATGTTATTCTAATTGAAAATTTTTCTTTTCCGCTTATTCAGCATCTATATATAATAAATTATATATATACATATAATTATATATAAATATAGATTTTTTTTTAATTAATAATTCTTGATATTAAAGTAGTAACTTATTATTAAAATTAATTTCATTTGTTTTTTAACAGCTATGATCTTATGATTATCGATCGAGATGCAAATGTCTTATTGAGAAATGATCAGCCATTGTTTGATAAAATGCTTAGGGAGAAGTCGATAGACCGGAGTTAACCGGTTACTTAGCTGCGAACTCGGGACCCCAACTGATAACTTAAAAGGAAAGAAAAAAATGCAGATAATGCTCACATGATTTGACAGAAAGAGGGAAAAGAGGAAAGAGTGGAAAAACGATGATAGATTGAAGTGAACGAAGAGGTAGACAATAAATAAATGACAAAGAAATTATATTGTATTTCAAATACTGAATATCTATGCAATATCTAATTGCATTATTTAGATAATCTATGGACTTAGAAAAGAAATTTAAGTTTAGCTTTATAAATAAAAAAAATAAACTAAAAAGCCTTGCATTTTTTTATAATTTTACTAAAATTATCTAACATTGAGCATTTGTTTTATATAAAATTTTTATTGTAATAATTCTTATTGAATATAATATATAATTTAATTTTTAAGTTAAATATTATTCTTTAAAATTACTTTATTAAACTATTTTGATGTAGATATAATAATTTTAATCAATTAATTATATAATTTTGATGTACTAACTGAAGGCAAAATTAATTTAAAATATAACAAAGCATCAAATTGAAATATTTGTCAAACTTGAAAAGAAACGAAAAAAAAAGTTCTACAATGTTTCATGTATCATGAATTAATAATATAATATTATTGATTTACTTTAACCCTGTTACAATCTTTAAATTTTAGCTAATTTTTTATTTTTTCAAATTTATAAATTCTTTAATAATAAGAAAATATGATTGAAATGAAAAAATCAATATCAAAACACTTTATTATTATACGTATCAACGCAAACAATCGACAGAATATATATATAACAGATAATATTTCCATATCATATGATTATATCATTCTCGTTATTTTCATAAGAAAGTTTCATTCTAATGTTTCAATAATATTATTACGTTTTTGACCTAAATTGCATCTTGTAACAAGATATATGGAAAATTAATTTTCTCGGCATTTAAAATGGAATGATACAAAACATCGCATATTCTTTAATAAAATATATCGATTTTTACTTTTACTTTCATTCCCTTTCAAGTATCGTAATAATTGATGAATGTCACGTCATTAAAATTCTATTATAAATCTCGTATTCGAATAAAATAAATTTCATTTTCTTCCTTTTCTATTATCGTTCGATATATATGATCTGATAGAAATCTTTTTGTCTGCTAAAACCACTTGTGTCAGTGCCAAATGTGGACGATATGTTAGCTTAATGCGAATTCCATGTAATTGGAAAACTCAACAACTGCAATTCTATTCTATTGATTCATCTTCTATTTCTTTATTTTAAGATTTTTTTTTAAATCTATTTTGCGAGAATAATCTCTAATTTTTTGATATAATTGGGAAAATATATTGGGAAAATAATATGAAAATGACTGTAATCTATTTTTAGTATATATTCTTCTCTTTGTTTATATAGATTTCGGATCATAGCAATATTATTCGCATTATCATATATAAAGAAAGAAAAAAAAGAAATATGACACAATATAAACAAAGAAAATTAAAATATAAAAGAAAATAGGTGAGAATATGTGTTTGAATAAGAATAATTTCATTTTACATACCAAGAGAAAAATAAGGCAACAATTTCATAAAGAAAAATCTTCGTCTTATTTTAAAAGAATATAAATTAATCATAAAAAATTTGTCAATGAAGCATATAAAAGAGTTTTGCAACCAATAAATTGATTTCTTCACAAATATTTTGTTTTGTATCATATATATTATCATATATTGTAACTAAATTCTCGTTTACTCTCAAAACTGAAATAAAATTAAATATAATAAATTATAAACAAAAAGATGTTCACTTTGTCATTTTTGTGACGTGTTAAAGAAATTCTTTTATTTTTCTTCAAAAGTTACGTAAAAAAAAGCATATATAAATAAAAGATTTAAACAAAAATTTATATACGAAATCAAAGTGGATAAGGTTAGAAGAATGATCAGATCCAACGTGCGATCATAATTCGAACTCCAATGATGTTAGACAATTCATACTTGTTGCGGCAAATTATATATGGTGAACATTATTACCATAACGATTTACAAGAGTAATATTCTAAAATTTAATTTTTTAATTTGATTATTATTCAATCTTTTTATATTTTAAGTATTTTAAGTTTACATACTTTCAATAAAATAAAATAAATTTATTATGTAAATACTTCAGGAGTCGAGTCACTGAATATAAACAAAATCACGTGACAAAATCTAGGGAAATTAGAGTTGCACTCATAATATTGAGATATAAGAAAGATATATAAAGTTAATTTTCTGCACATAAATTCCTACAAGTAGTTATTTGTTATCAATATAAACATAAACAATATAATAACAGAGATAAATTGTTTTCAAGATAAGAATTTATAAATAAAATTTATTTTCATAGAAATAAGCAATCAATGTAGAAAAAACTGGCGTTAGTAACCGAATTATTTTACGCAATGATATATTATATAAATCAATTCTGATATTGACTAGTTTGGCAAACAATACTGAAATTATTTCAGTTCGAAAGAAATTGAATAATTGCGATTGAATTGAAATCGCAGTATTTGTCACATGATTTGATTTGTTTACTGTTTTAACGAGATTAAACGAGATATATGAGATCTATCCGAAATACATCTATTCTTTTGAATATCTTAAAAATAGATCGCATAATCTTAATATAACAACAATTTGAATTTAATTTTACTATGTGTGCATAATCATTGTTCTGTACAATTCATCAGTGAAATGTTGTTGAATGAATTTAAATATATTACATGATGTCATGTCATTGATAATAATCGAATAAGTAAAGTAAGATTTAAATTTTAAAGAAACATTGTGTAATTTGAGTTTGTTTTCTTATAACTCAGATTTAACTTTCTACAACTTATAGCTTTTTCTAAATTGAAATCGCTATTGAATGAAAAAATTTCAAATTGGGAACAAAATATCAAATCATATTGATGATAATTTTAAAAAGAAATTTTGCAAATTGTTTTGACAAATGGAAGAAACAGTGAGTTAAATTTAAGTTTTGAAGGATATTTTAAACTAAGAATTAAGAGAATTATTCCCATACATGTTATTATATTTTATTTAATATTAAATAATTATTTTCCGGATAACCTCATATATATAGTAATTATAGTATGATGCATAGCTTATCACACCATGTCTGGTGTGAAGTATGTTCCTGATTAATTTATGAACACAACTTCCTTTGCTTTTAGCTGTTGAGCCTGAATTTCCAAGGTGCTATTTCTATTGCTATAATAATTCTGTATAAAAGTAAGACATCAAGAAAAGTGGAAGTAAGTAAAAAAAAATGAGATTTACCATATCTAATAGTGTTTTGTTATGCTTCTTGTTATTAGTTATGCATTTCACTCGTGATTAAATAATTTTTTGTAATTTCAACATAGAAGAATTTTGGGCAAGCATAAATTGTGGCTATGATCCAAACAATTTCTACTACGATCTATAATCGACTTCTAGTCTAATTTATACGAATTTGCATTTAATAAAATAAACAATAACTAAGTATCATTCGATGCAAACTATTATTAGAATATACTCGTTGTATAAGAAAAAACGTGAACATGAATTGTTAAGTATTCATCAAATAATTTGTTAAAGTTTGATATATGCAAAAAATATCGCAGAAATCAGGTATTGCCAAATTAACTAAAAAAAAAAATTAATGATACTGTATAGTTATCAAGAGAAGAACATTACTATGAAGATCATCATCAAATTATTTATAATCATATTTCAAAGAAATATATTTCTGAATATATTTCATATGATCACTTATGTAATCGTATATTTTTTTAATATTTTTGAACAATATATTATGAAAAATGCGATCGTAACATTTGTAAAATAGAGAACAGAGTTTAACATAAAGAGTTTCATTATCATTGAGTGAATAAACAAAAGTATAATAAAGATTAAGCAAATCGCTATTATTCATAATTTTAATTAATTAGAATTTTAATTATTCATAATCTTTTTCGTAGACATAGAAAGAATTATAAGACAATTGATAGAATGGAAATATTCAAACAAATATCAGAAATGTATAAGAATTTGATTCTTGTACATTTAGGTTTAGATTAAGACAATTGATATATCGAAAAGAAATCGAGTCAAATTGGATTGGATCGATATTTGAAAACATTGAGATGTCCGAAAATATTAAGATTTTCAAATATCGGCATTTTTAATTTTTGACTTTTGAGACATTTTATAGGAAAAACAATTTTATATTATAAAATCATAATATATTATTTTCTTATTTTGTATAGATAACATTTTTCCAATTGTCACACAATAATTTATAATAACCGCATTAAAAAGGTTTGATCATTTTTTTTTTCCAAATTTCGATTATTCAGTCAATTTATTCGTTTTTCTAATAATCGGATATGACATTTTTACTGAATATAAATGTTGCTTTTTTTCTCTTTATTAATTATAACATATAAAAATAATTTTTAATAATTTAAAAAAAGACAATTATATCTGTTTCAGAGTTGGAATAAATTTTTATAAATATAATTCTACTTTAGCATCGTTGTTTCACGAACACGAATATTTATTATAGAAATGAATTGATATTTCGATTAAAGAACAGTTTTTATTGATTTACAACGATATTTGCGTTTTTTCATTTTGTCAAAAGTTGAGAAAAAATACAATGAACACAGTACATACAGATCAATTTCATCATTGCACCAATCACAATATTTTGAGACTTAAATAATAATTCAAGTGATCTACATCAAGACAATCACTTACCGAGAAAGCAGAAAATGAAGACAATGGTATAAAGCGTAATAAAAATTACTCTTATATCAATCCTGTCAAGAATGTACTCTTCATTTAAAGATATATCATACAACGAAGTTTCGTTATCCATCAGACTTTTTTTATTATGAACTTCATGAATGATGATGTCACAGCTGTTGATCATTCTAAAATAAAATTGCAAAAAATAAAAAATTATTAATTGTTAATATTTAAAATATAATTTGTAATAAATATGAATAATTACAATAATTTTTAATTAATTCCGTTATATCATTTTCGTTCTAATAGTATTTTTCTATCATTAAAAAATTGTTAAATTTTGAAAAATATATAAATAATTATATTTATGATACATCATTTTAAATCTTACTATTGCATTATAATTTAATATATTTTTTGTTATCTATGTTCAACTGTTATTAGATAAATCTATCATAAAACAATTTATTAACAAGATATAAATACTTTTCAACTTTGTAAGTTGTAAATATTAATAGTTTTTTTAAAAATATATCATATAATATATTTTTAAACAAATTTCTAAATAAATTTTTTTTTATTGATTTTAGTTAAGTGGAAAGAAAAATAATAACGAAGAAAATTTCAACTTTCTATACAAAAGAAGAAAGAAAAAGTTTTTTTTTTATTATGCACTATTCGATTATGCTATACTTTTGACAATTGATCATTTCAAAAGGAAAAAACCAAATTGCATAAAATTTATTAATCTTTAAATATTAATCAAGTTATGTAAGTAAATTTAATTATTCGTAATAAGCTAAAACAAAGCTAAAATTAAAATTTGTATTTTGCATCCAATGTATGGCTTTTATCTTATTCTTCTTAGTTCTTCTTTTTAGAAATATTATTTTATTTATTTAAAATATCATATATATTTAATACGTTAAAAAATACATATTTATATATTAAATTATTCAAATATAATTCTATTTTATAATTCTATTAATATTTTTTTAATTTAACTTTGACATAGTTTATGATATTATGAAAATTTAAATAGTTTAATATTTTTATGCAAAAATTTATTCAAAAAGATACAAGTATCATTATGAAACTATCATAATATAGATAATACAATGTAACAATTTTTTCTGAAATTATTATTTTTAAGGTATATAATAATCTTCTATTTAATCCATAATTATATTGTTCAACGATCGATTTTTGTTTTCGCGTATTAATCTATCACGTATTTAACTTTATCAACGATACCAATTGTTAATATTTAAGGAAAATTTTTACATGATATTATTATATTATTAAATTTTATGTATTATTTTATGTCTCATTTAAATTTTATATTTAATTATTATATTAATATTTTATTTATGCAAAATAAAATATTATTTGTAAATGAAAACAAATTAAATTCATATAAACAAAATATATAATTCGCCAATTATATTTTAATTTATATATATTTTTATGTACAAATAATTATGATCATAGATCAATGAATTTGATATAATTATGGATTGTTAAAATAATTAATAATGATATATTTATAATTAGAGAAAATAAATAGATAAAATGAAAAGCAAAATGAATGGTATTAATATAATCAATATAAATTCTATTGTTTTTATGATTATTTTATTACAAATTTCAAGATATTCTGTAATGAATATGCATTTCCAATATATCTTTTATGAAAATCATTAATATGCATTATAAAATTTGAAGATACTTTGTGATATACTACATTTCTAATATATTTTTTTATGAAAATTTTATGAAAATAAATATATAATATATATAAATTAATATATTGGTACGTTTAATACAATAAAAAATTTAGAATTGCAAGTTATGAAAATTTCAAAACTTGTATAAAATGAATAAATCGCTTATCGCAATAAATTAATTTTGACAATTTGTCGAGAGATATTAGAAAAATAAGAATTAATTTAAATTACATAATTATAAATTGAATAGAAATAATGCAAATGATGAGTATTTTTTTTATATATCGTTATTATTATATATCGTTTTTTATATATCAATCGTTATATGATTACAATTCTCTGTTTATAATTTCTATTATATTATTATCATTCATTATTAATGAAATATAAGAAACGAATATTTTGTTTTATATCATTCTATGATATAATAGAAATTTTTAATTTATAGTTTCTATCACATTATAGTAATCTTATTAATCATGAAATATTAAGAATTTTGTCCGATAATAATTTTATATCGATTGATCACCAATGGAATTAAAGAAATTGAATGTTAGTATTTTTTTTTTCTTTTGAACAATAATAGTAGCTAATAATTTACGAAATTGTAGTAACTAATGTGTGAAGTAATTAACGTTAGCATCAAAATTGAAGATTTCCATTCATTGCTATCAAATCTGATCAAATATCCTGGATTTCGCGCAGGCATCTTCATTCTTTTTAATTTTTTTTCCGAGAAATCATAAATTGTTGGAATCATTAAAAGATCAGTATTGATAATTAAATAATTTTCTTGAAAAGCAATGAATATAATTAATTATAATAATAGATATAATTAATGAAAAAATTATTATAACAAGAAAAGAAAAGAGTTGTAATAGAGATAACAGAAGATAATATTAGATTCAATATCTTGATAGCTTTAATAGTTATGATGATTGTTGAATCGTCAAGTATCCGAGGAGTGGGAGTATTAGGATAAATATCGGCATTCGAAGCTTTTATAACTTCTCGAGAGTATGAAGCAACGGCATTTATTATAATCGACAATGCTATTGAATGGTTGTGTTTTGCATCGAACTCATGTTCCTTAAAATAATAACTTGTTTTTACATCATAATTATATTCAAGAACGACAAGAAATTTGAATATTTATTTTTCATTCTTTCATTGAGAATATTTTCTATTATCAAAATTTATTTATTAAATATCGCTGTAATAATAATGTGTGTATAAATGTTATTTAAAATTGTAAATATACTATAGAAGAATAATAAGTTATTATATTTAGTGTTTCACGTAAAAATAATTTTAAACATGTTGAACAAGGCGAAGAACACGTTTCATCAGAAAAGTGAGTTTACATAATTTGATTTTGTGAAATATTGTTAGAAGATAGGAATCTAAATTTCTATTTTATCTTTTGTTTTATCTTAAACAAATTATTTATTTTTTTTAAGTGTCTCAATGCAACAAAAAATCTTGTTATGGATATATCAAACGAAGATTACCGATTTTATCGTGGGCAAAAGACTACAAATTTACATGGTTAGCGCAAGATGCATTAGCCGGCTTAACGGTTGGCCTTACAGCTATTCCACAAGGTATTGCTTATGCTATCGTTGCTAACTTAAGTCCTGAGGTAAATTTAAATGAAACGATATAGCATATATATATCATTGTATTTTTACTTATACAGCATTCATATTTTTTTTTATTTTTTCCAGTATGGATTGTATGCATCTTTCATGGCCTCATTCGTATACATTGTTTTTGGTTCTTGTAAAAATATTACTATCGGACCAACTGCTATTATGGCAACGATGGTGCAACCTTTGGTATCAAAATACGGTCCCGATATGGCCGTATTGCTTTCGTTTTTAAAGGGCTGTATGATAGCAATACTTGGATTACTTCATTTGGGTGAGTGATAAGTTGATTTTTACTTATTTATTCCTCTTTTTTCAATTGTATATAAAGAGTTTCAATCATACGGATTTTAGGTTTTCTGTTGGATTTCATTTCGTTACCCGTGATTACGGGTTTCACCGCGGCTGCGTCCATTAACATAGCTGCTTCACAAATTAAACCATTGTTAGGTATCCCTGGTAGAAGCGAAGACTTGGTAGATGCATTAATTTCAGTTTTCTCGAATCTTAAAGATATTCGCTATCAAGACACATCGCTAGGTGTTGCAACAATAATATTTTTGGTTTTATTAAAGGTATATTTGTATGCCTTATCGAAGATAAAGGATAAGTTAAGTGACGTAAAGTCAAATTTAAATGATTTACTGTTATATGATTATAGATTTATTTGAAATTAAATTAATTTTTATTCGATTTTATTTAAGAATTTACCAGGACGTCGAACTGGTAGCTGGCCACAGAAAATTGCTTGGGCTATTATTCTTGCGCGTAATGCATTAGTGGTTATCATAGGTACTGTGATTGCCTATATTTTTTACACAAACAATGAAGAACCTTTTAAGTTAACCGGTAAGAGCAACATGATATTGGAAAAATTATATAATGAATATTTCCTTTATAAATCCTTAATTAAGTATGATAAGCATTGCAAGTTATTGAGCGAAAAAAGCAAAGAAAAAAAATATAATTGCTTTATAGGATCAATGGGTAATGGATTACCACCGATTAGTCCACCACATTTCTCAATATCAGATGGAAATCGTACATACGATTTTCTTGAAACAACAGCTGCTATGGGAACAACACTTTTTTCTGTTCCGATTGTATCTACGATTGAACATATGGCGATAGCAAAAGCTTTTGGTATGCTATATCATTGACCATTAGAATTCAACTCGCAATATACGATGACTGAGTCAAAAATTATCCAGATCAATAAATTCATATTTGTTTAATTTTCGTTATTTAATTATATAATTATTACCAATTACCATGTCGATTGCATAAAAAATGATTCATAAGAATTATACGGCTGTACGACTTTAATTATGATGAATATCTTTGAATAAATCGTTTTAGCAATGGGAAAGTCTTTGGATGCAACACAGGAAATGTTCGCGTTAGGTTTGTGCAATATATTTGGTTCATTCGTTCGATCAATGCCAATTACAGGTTCTTTTACAAGAACGGCTGTTAATCATTCATCAGGAGTTAAAACAACTTTGGGAGGCTTATTTACAGGTAAATATACATACAATATCATCGAATCTTCGATTTATTTCAAAATAATATATCTATTGTTATATATATAGTAACAATAATCAATATGATAATAATAGTTGTTGAGTATAATTTAAAATGAACAATGAAATCTTATTATAAATATATAAATAAATAAATAAAAAAGATATTTAATTAGTAAATTTGTCCTAATATATGATAAATGATTTCCTGTAAATTATTTCTAACTTAATATTATAGTTTATTTCTTTCAGGTTGCCTTGTCTTACTCGCTTCTAGTTTGTTAACATCCACTTTTCGTTTTATTCCTAAAGCCACTTTAGCTGGTGTTATAATGTGTTCTATGTATTATATGCTTGACTTTAAAACGTATGCATTAATATGGCGTGCTAAAAGTAAGTAAATGAGTATCGCGATAAACACAATTTAATTTTGAATTTATTAAAATTACATTTGTTTTTCAGAAATTGATTTTCTACTGATGTTGATTACATTATTATTTTGTGTCTTTTATAAATTAGAATGGGGAATCATTATTGGTATAGTTTTAAATTTATTAATATTATTATATTTCTCCGCTCGACCTTCCGTCCACACCGAAATCGAACAGGTCAGACAAATGAATTAAATTTATTTTACAAATTTAATTGTGGAAAAAGAATGTATATTTTCTTTATTGAACGTTGTAGACAGAAGATAAAATCGCGATTCGTATCATTCCTGAAGAAAGTATTACATTCCCAGCAGCAGAATATTTTAGAGCCAATATAATGCAACTTTCAGAAAAAAATTCGCTTAATGTTGTACTTGATTGTAAGAATGTAAAAAGGATCGATGTAACAGTTGCAAAGGTAAATGACGATTTGAAACTGTTTTATTAAAAAAAATTCATTATTATAATAAAAATTTATATACATGATTTTTTTGATATAATCAAAATAATTGTTATTTTATAGAATCTTAAATTGTTATCCAACGATTTACGACTTCGAGGACAAAGTATTGTCTGTGAAAATTGTCCAGATAATATTGGAAATATATTAAAAAACTGTTGCTCCAGATCTCTGAATACACATGTACAAATTTATAAACTAATTCATGCAATCATGATTTTTATTTGTTTTATAAAAATAATATAAAGTTTATGTATTTTATTATATATATTATATATTATAATATTTTAAATTAATGATGAATAATTGAAATATTATAAATTCTTATAAAAAATAATATTATTTATGATTATTTATGATTATATCCACTTTATTATCTATTTTAAATAAAGAGATTTGAATGATTAGTATCATATCTTTTTAAATAAATCTCATTTAAAAAGATATGATACTAATCAAATATCAGATCAAAAATTTCAAAGATAATAAATTCAGAAAGTTTAATCTAATATATGTGTATAGAATTTTTATATTTGTCGATGAATTAATCATTTTATCAATTTATGTACATAAAAAAAATATTTAAAGAATTATATTGTAACGGAGAATATATTAGATATTCGTTGTAATACCTGGATCAATTCGATGAGTATCTTCGAGATGTTTTTCCATTGTTTCGTTTCCTGATAGTATCCAGTAACAATATTTGCAATATCTTCGTCGATGACATTTTACGTGCGTGGACAACGATAAAAGTGTAGCTATTTGCTCGTGACAAAAATTACATTCAAATTTTAAGGTTCGTTGTCCTGAAACCTATAATAAAAAAACATATAATAAAAAATTTATAATAAAAAGAAAATATATGTATAATCACAAGTATATCTATATTCTATTTTATTTATATTATATAACATTATTATACTATTGATATATTTATATTATGTATAGATATTGTATTCATAGCAATTAAAAATGCAGTTACTTACATTTATTGTACCAACATTTTCGTTATAATTGTTTTTTTCCGAAATAACAGCATATTGAGGCACTTTTGAATCAGTACTTTGTTTCTTTCGTAGTTGTAATGGTAATACAATTGGATATTTTCCTTCTTCCAACTGCAAAAATATATTTCTTTTTATAATTTTATATTTTTATATTTTGAATTTGAAAAATAGATCGTGCAGAAATTGTGTGACACATATTGCATATAATCATTATTGTTAATATTAAAAATACAACTAATATGAATTTAAGTGAAATTTCGTAAAAATTAAATACATGAATTTATAAAGATTTGCGTAATTTATTAATATCTATTGTGAAGAATTTAGATTTCAAAATATTTTAAAATATTTAATAAAAAGCATAAAAAATATTTTCAAAAAACAATTGTTTAATCAACGAACATGTTAATATTTAACGTAATTTATTAGAATTTCATTTCATTATTCCCAAAAATTTTTCGCGGTTAAAAGACGCCATATTAATTTAATATGCTAGTAGTGTCATCTTTATTTTAAACCGTTGTTAAAATTTGTATCTATTAAGTTTTTCAATTATATTTTAATTAACAAATTAGTGTTTGATAATTAATTTTAGTGTTTGATAATGTATTCATCATTAAAATAAGCAATTATAATTCAAGTGAAGCAAACGCATCGAAAGAGAAGATGTACAAAAACTATTGCAACTTGCCTTCCTGGAACTTTGAATTGGTGGGCGAATATCGTATACGAAATCTTTTTTCGTCATTTTCTCGCTAATATTTCGGTTGCATCGTAAATTATACTTCATGGCGTCTCCTAATGTCCAATTTGTTGGTGAATTTCTATAACTTTGATGAGAGTTCATGTTTTATAAGTAATATTTTTTCATCAGTCATATTTTTCGATAGTCTTTTGTTAAATTACATTTACATTTGTATAGATATATGAACAAAAAATTTCGTACGTTTTTATGAAAATTATTACGTAACATATTTATTTTTTATATGTTATAATGGTAAATTACAAAGTATTCTTAAATTAATATTAATATTATTATTATTATTATTATTATTGTTTTTTTAAAGAGTTTCTTTATAGAATTATATTAAAATTTTTGTGTGAAATGGTTCTTATTTTTTTCGTTACATATTGTTTTATTTTAAAGATTCTTAAAATATATGGATCGTAGCTGTTTGATCACGATAAGAATCTGTATTCATGAATTATCGAATTCTAACGAAAAAATAAACATAATAAATTAAGTTGTTATTAATTTATACTTTATGATCTATAAATTTTCGAAACATAGTTTGCATTTTTAATGATTAGCTGCATTGTATGACAGTATTAAAAAAAGGAATACTTAGTAACAAATATATCTTTTATAAGCGATTTTTCGTATATTGCAGCAATCATTAATATTCAGCCATCGTGCTTATGGAGAGTAACTATATTTTAATAAATAAATAATTCTTTATGCTATGGCGTGTGATTCACTTCGTATGACTAGAGAATTGTGGCATTGAAAACTAGAACTGATTTTATCACACGCAGACACACAGCGCATACATCCAAAGATATATTTTAGTTTCAAAAAAGAGAGAGAAAAAAAAAGAATTAGTAAGTTTTATATTTACTATAATGAAATGTAAAAAAACCGAAATTTTTATTTCATAAATCTATGATAAGTCATTTCTATTTATATTATCATATTGTAATCCTTATGTTATAATGCAACATAATAATATTAAAAAATTTAGTATAATTTTAGGAAATATTTATAAGCATTTGATGCGCAAAATACACACACGTAGGCCTTCAAAGTTAAAATAGGCATTTGAGATCGTTCATTTTCTAATCGAGTCTAATTAACGAATATTTCAATATTGTATTTACATCAATAACACAGATTCTTAAACGTTCAAGCTATTTTTTTGCTATAAAGTAAATCACGAGGACATCGCGTTGTAAAGCGAATTAAAATATTTTATTTTGTTAAAAGTGATGATATCATTGCACTTAAGATTCAGATGCTATCTAAATGAGTGTTTAAATTATATTTAAATTCTCTGTTATTTCTTATTGAAGAATCCTGATGTAAGAGCAAAGGTGCTCTTTCTTGTCTAATTTCAGGAAGGGTAGCAAGCTCTTGAACAGGACTTCGTTGCCATACACTTCTCATAGCCAATTCTTGATAGCCCCTTCTCCGAACCTGTAATTTAGAATTATTTAATATTTATCATTTTTCTTATGTTTTTATTTGTTTTCCTTAGAATTTTTTCTTTCTTTTAAAATAGTAAAGAATTAAATAGAGAAAAAATCTTACTTGTCTATGATGAAGTTCATGCAGGTACAATGTAGACAGTGACATATCGGCAGCAATTAATTCCACTGGTATAGATAAATCAGTAGAAAATTCATGACTCGATACAAAGACAGAAGCGCCTAAAGATTGATTTGATATTTCTTGTTGTAACCCATATAATAATCCTTTTTCATTGTGTACAGGACCTTCGGCTTTGCTTAAGCCACATTGAACTGCGTGCGGAAATATGTCTGATTTCATGTTCAACATTTCATTTCCGGAAGTACAAACAGAAGTACAAGGTTGATTCGTGAACATAGTACTCGTGCTTGGCCCACTTGCTTGATTTATCATTGTGCTTCGAATTATGTTTGATATAATATCGTTGTACTGAAATAATTAAGCAAATTAAATTTAATGTCAATTTGATCTCGAATTAAGATCTAAATACTTACGCCTGGTCCTAAACCAGATAAACTATTTAAACTTGCTAAAAGGGGATTGATTTCATGTCCGCCTCCATGTACATCTTTCTTTACTCTTTCTCTTAAGGCTGTGACAAAATTTTCAGCATGACTCGGTGGTTTCCATTCAGGATTCGTTAAAGTAAAATGTATAAGAGACAATTCCGTTTTCCCATCTTCTGCTTGAGTATATTGATCCGAAATAGGGATTTGAAGTTTCTCTGGATCTGTAGCATATTGATTATCATATTTGGCAGCCCGATCTGGGATATGAATTTGAGTTGCTGTCTGCCACATTGGATTTCCATGTTTTCGCACATCCATTTGTGCAAAACTACAAACATCTCCAACTCCTGTGACTTCAATTGTAAAATTACGATAGAAGTCGACAATATCTAAGGCTCGTTGCCTCATACGAAAACATAGAATAAATGGTGTAACCAAAGGGGAAATTAATTCTTCTAAAAGATGAACTGCACGATATTGAAATAATTGTGCTACTTCTGCTCTTGTAGTTTGAGTATGAGCATGACCTCGCCAACTATCAGGTCTATAATGTGTATGTGCTAGAACAGCGGTTAAAAGAGTCTCCGGACACCAAACTAAATTTTCATCAGGTATAAATGCTCTTGCGCCTGCTACTATTGCACCTAGTATGGTTATAGTAGTCAATACATGTTCCACCGTTAGTACATCTTCATCGTATACTGTTAATATTAATAAAACTGCCAATATACTTCCAGCCACAAAAGCAACGTTCTTTGCAATAACTGTCATAATAGGAGATGTAAACATGCTCATATATTTCGAGGCAGGGCGGTATGCACGATTTAAACGGGCATTCAATTCATGATCGAGTTCGTTGAAATGACGAAGATACAACCGACCGTATAAAGACCACATTCTTGTACCTAAAGTTCCTGGTTCTCGCTTGATGATCTGTTCGAGACAGAAATATTTTCCAATACGATTATTCCTACGACACGAAATATATATATCGAGTGGGAGATTTATCGCGAGTTAAGTAAAATTACTCACCTCACCATAATTAAAAAACGAATAGAGTATCTGCCATAATAAAATTAATGGGCAAAGTAAAAAGTTTACGATTCCGACCCATAAAATATGTTTAGATAAAGCTCTTGCAAGCTCTTGTCTTTTATTTAATTTTTTATAATCTTCTTTAAGATGCCAATTGTTTTCAAATGGAGACCATGGTCCCCCTGTGTATAAGAATAATTTATAGCAAATTAACAAATTTAATTAATAATTATATAAATATTTAATGCTTACAAAACAAAAGTAATTCCATATTGTATTTTAATCCTCTTGTCATGAAAATAATTTCTCCTAAAATAGGGACTTTAAGTCGAACTGGTAACAAGGATTTATTGATCATAGCCACCATATAATTTTTAAATCTTAATATTCTATGATATATATCTAATTCTGTAAGCTCTCTTTTGTGAATGCACATTTCTTGTTCTTTTTGCACTTCTCTGACACGCTTTTGTATCTCATGCCATGTAAGATTGTCCAGATCGCAGTCTTCAATTTTCAGCGCGGTATTAAAGAAAAGTTTTATGTCCCAAAACTGCGTGCAATGATATAAAACTTTTACCAATCGCAAGATCCAAAATATTGCAGCTACCAAAATACAGATCCAAGTAATCAGACCCATAGATGCTACACATTCGCTCGTTGATAAAATTACGTCACTTATCGAAATTTTTCCTTCTTTTCCATTCCTGAAAATATCAATCTCATCAATCTCATCAATTGAATCTTCTTACCATATTAATAATTATATTAATATTTTTAACAAAAATCTCACTTAAATAATAGAGAATAATTGATGCAGTGAAAAAGGAAAGTTGAAAAAGTAACTACAAAAATGAATTGTCCTAGTTCAAGCGCTTCTTGAAGTATCATACAAGCAAATCCATGTTTTTGATGATAATGGTACATTCTTGTAAAAAATGAATCTAAATCTTCAACATGATTCCATCTTGCTTTATTTCCTTCTGGTACTACATGTATCATAACACCAGATTCCTGTGGTGTTTCTTCATGTTCATCATCATCTTCTCCATCCTCCTCCTCTCCATCATATGGCTCCATACGTTGATAGCTGCCATCCAATACCGTTGTCATCTAGAAATATTATCTTTTTAAATTTATTATTAAATATTTTATGAATACATCAAAAAATTTATATAATATTTGATAATAAATTAAAAAAATTTTAAATCAATGCAAAAAACAGAATCATCATTTTTAGAAGAATATGATATGCAAAAAATAATATTAAAAAAATAATAAAAACAATAAGATACATGTGACAAATACAAGTATCATCTTAAGAATATACTTTTACCGTTTTTGCTCGTCGGTTTGGCTCTACACAAGTAATGACAGTTTCTCGTTTCATTCTCACATGTCATTAAGAATAATTAACTACCGGTTGACGGTTGCTCCACAAGCATCTAAAATGTAAGGTACCCACCAAATGAACTTGTTAAAGCCATATAAAATGCATTTATATTTGTCTATTAGTTTGCATATTGCATTTTATTTTTATTATTATATATATTGAAAGGAATGAAACTTTTGTGAACTCTTCTTTGTCTTCTATTGATTCTTTGTTCATCACTTGACAATTCTTCTTTTATCTAAAGATTGCATCAATGTTTTTTAATCAATGACAAATTCACTTTTGAATCATATTTTTATAATTATGTGCTTTGTGTCAATGAAGATACTAATATTTAAAAAAAAATTTTTAATCATTATATTTTCATTTAACTTCTTTGCAAGCATTTGAATGAAATTAATATTATGCAAAAAATATTAAAATATTATTCGCATCGCTGATGATATTAAAAAATTAAGAAACGTATACATATATACATACATACATACATATATATATATATATACATACGTACACATATACATACATACATATATATATATATATATATATGTTACAACAATAAAGTTTAGTTAGATATATTAAAAGAATAAAGAAGTTGAACAATCAATGAATGTGTGATAAAAATTGGACTTGCACTTCGATAAAAGGATTTTATATTCAATTTTTTATGTTTTACGAAATCTTTCCGATTTTATAAGATTATCAATAATATAAGCCTAGCTTACGATGTATCGCGTTTGTGCATCAAGCATCACTTTTGTCTATGCTTTTGGCTGACCTTTATTCGACGAAAATAGAAGCGTCGTAGACGCTGCAGCGAAAGCGATAGGAATGTTTGGTAACACAGCTGATCTCCATAAACAAAGCATCCTGTCGTACCTTCGTTTTTGACGACTTTTGTCCCACTTTCCAAATTGACACGTGTTTATTATTATCAGCTGCAAACTCATGAATCCTCACTTACATATTGACCGAAATACGAACAATTATTTACTACTAATTTAGATATTTAATTGTTAAAAGCATTCCACCAATTCCCCGTGTATCACCATCTTTACTGAATTTTCTATTTGTAGTCCACCTTATTCTGCTAGTCACGAACCGTACGTTGATTTTAGGAAGTAAATTTAGTTAATGAACAGTTAATAAAAACAATTCCCTTGTTAACATTTATCGATTATATTTTATTTTGAAAGATTCTTTAAATTAGATGCTCTATGTAATAAATTTATTTTCTTATTTTATAAAATCTCAAAAGTTTAAAATGAAATTTTGTATATTATATTTATAAATATAATATAATATAATTTGAAAATTTAAAACGTTGATCTCAATGGTGCTCATGTCATAATTGCTTCTCTCCATTCGGTAATTATGCTTAGCAGACAAGATGTGCGCTATCAGTATCAATAATAGAAAAGGTAATTATCTGTAAATAAACTTTAAAAGAATATGTTTGTATAATCTGAATCATGCTCATAATTTTTATTACAACACAATTAAAATAATATCAATCTGATATTTTTTTATAAAAATAAATTTATCAATTCTTCCAAACTAAAATTTTTTAATAACTAAATTATTTTCAAAAATATTCAAAAGATGGCACTGATATTTAATTCTTATTCTATTTTATCCTACTTTTGAAAAAAAGTTTCTTACTCAAAAGATGGCGTTGATTTCTTAATTTTTAACTTATTTCTATTTTTCTCTCATTATTTACAGTTTTACTTTTACTTTTCTTGGCTACACCTGCTCTTGACGTGAAATCAGATAAGATATATAATATAATATACTTTCATCATTTCTCTTTCAAAATTTTAATCATAATGTATCTTAATTAACATAAAAAATATAAATATTATATTCTCAATTTTATAATATATTTCTAAGATGGATATAAAACATATTTATATAAACTATTTCATATTAGTTTATTCATATTTAATTTTTTTAAATTTTTCTTAATTTTTATTCTATTATATATTTTTCTATTTGATGACAGCTTTCACAATGATGGAATATCCTTCTAATATATATTATTAGATTTAATATTATTTAATATTATTTAATATTAATATTAATATTATTATTTAATATTATTAAAATTTCGTTCAGTTACTGGATAAAAAAAATTCAATAGTTATGATGATTATAAAATTATAAATATTTCATTAAGTAATGATGGTTAGTATATCGTATGATATATATTCTATATTATATTACATGCATGGTTAAGCTATAAAAGCTTGCGTGATTTTGATTGTTAATCCATTCACAATTATCAATTAAATTATTATTTGGATTTATAATTTTCTCTCCGTTATTAAATAATAATTACGAATAATAATATTATTAATTGTATTATCAAACTATATATTATCAAATATAATAATGGTATCACTCATATATGAATGCACTTATGCATATCATTTCTTTATAAAATTGTATATATAATGTTAATATATTCATGGAATTTTGGAAGATTTAAAAATCTAAATAAATATAAAATATATGATATATAAAAATATATGATTGTTATTAAATTATAAGCAATTTAAATTTCTGTTAAATGAAATAAGTCAAATAATAATATAATGGAGATAAAACTATTTCATTATATCTATTTCATTTTGTTAACATAAATATTAATTGTTTACAATTTAATATATAAGTTTCAATCAAATTTTTGCATTTTTGTGTTTATTTTGATTTCTTGAAAAATTTAAAAATACGAATATATACGAATATATTAATATTCTATATTATATTAATATATATTATATATTTTTTCAATTGATATGAGAATACTCAACTTCTATTTATTCTAATAAGATTACACTATTATGTAATCTCATTAGAATAAAATAGTGAAAGATAATTGAAAGTAAAGAATGAAATCGAATAATTAGGATGGGATTATTTTTTGTTTTCCTTTTTATTCAGTTCTAATTATACAAAAAAGAATCACATGTCATCAAACGAAACTGTTTCAAAATATAATAATTAATCTATTTTGACGAATTCTGCTTAAGAAGTGATACTCTATTAATGTATTTTATATTATGTCCGTTTTTTTTTCTAGAAATATATTAGATATATATTTTTTCAGAATAATATATTGATTAATTAGGTATCAGGAGGTATTCTGGACAAATTGAAATCTACGTAAAAATAATTAAAAACATATGTATGAAATGAATTTTTTATATTATAGAAACATTCTTTTTTTTCTTTTTTAATTATTATTATTTATTTTAAACAAATTTCATTTACTTTATTTGTATAATCATCTTTTCAGGTGAATATTATGCAATACATTTGTGAAATGCAAAGTTAGTTTATATATAACTATCTTGGATAATGATTCGATTATTAATTGCAATAATGGAAGAAAGAAGAAAGGGAAATTATATAGAATCATCAACGATCATCAATGTTGGTTCAAACGATATCACTTTTTTGACATTTCATTTTTATTCCCATTTTTTGTATGCAATTATTAACGAAAATTTAAAATATTATTTAAATAGACATAGATATATTATGCGAAACATATTTTATCTTGAGTTTCAAGAAAATCAAAGAATTTTAAACATAAATGTGATTATTTTTATCATATAGCCGATATTTTGAATGATTGTAATTCGTTTTTAATTAAAAAATTATTCAAAAGCTTTATGCTGAATAATATTTTGAATAACTATTTTCAAATATTTCAAGTAATTATATATTGTATAACAATAAGTTGAGTGATGAAAAATACGAAATGAAAATACAATATATTTAATTAATATTTTTTATTTAAAATTTAATATTTTTTTCTGTGAATTTATAATGGAAAATTTTTTAATTTTAAATATTTATTTAATACAAAATTTATCAATAATAAATTCCATATCTTAATTACAGAAATTAGCGGCAATCAACTTTTAAACTTTTTTATTCTTTTTATTTTAATTGATAGTAGTACTAGCAAAATAAAAAAAAATTACTAGTTATGAACGTGTTGATTTATAACTTATGCACTATTTCTTGAACTTTTTATAACACATTTCAAGTTCATTTTAATTTTTTATTTGCTTCAAATCACATTTGTCTATATAAAATATCGGCGATGATGAGTATGCGTTTGATATAATCAAGGAATCTTTAGAAGTGATCGTAGCTCTCTTTGAGCTCTTTTGATGCGTGGGGATAACTGGAGCTACCAGTTAAGTCAAGTGTATCGCATCAAGACGAAGTAGTACACTGTTTCTTTTCGGAGTGCGTGCATCGGATCGAGAGGATTGGCAGTCATATAAGAAAATAGAGAAGAACATCCTGGAAGTCTAGGGAGAGCAGGAATTACTGTTCAACGAGTTATTAATCAGCATATAAAAGACATGAATCTGCACTATTTCGTAAGTGGTTTTTATCCTACTTTCATTATTATATTTTTCATTTTGTAATTTTATAAAATTAATTTTATAAATTCATATAAAATTGTGAAAATATTTATTCGAATATTAGAGTAGGAGATAAATACCGTAACAAAAGAATAATGTTTGAATTTTTGATAAAAATTCAAAGTAAAAAATTTAATATTTAATGAGCTTTTATATTATCAGTTTAAAAAAATGTTCAGAAATTTAAATTAATGTTCAGTTATGCAATTTGTAAGTACATTACATTATAAAATAAATAGAAAGTGATTAAATCTGTAATACAATTCCATTAAAGAATTGAAAGTAAGCTTGGAATAATAGTATTAATTAACATTCAATGTGTTAATAATAAGTTATATATATATAATTTATTAATTAATAATTACTATTAGCAAAGAGATTAATATTTCATTTTATAATAATAATATATATTATATATTCATTATATTCTTTATGTTGTTCACATTATGATCCGAGTAATTTTTTCAAATGATAAAATTATTTCATGTTGTATTATTGATTATAATTTCATTTAATTTATCAAACATTCTATTAAAGATTAAATTATTTTCATTATTAAAAATTTTGCGAGGAAGAAATATTAAAAAAATAAATTTCAATGATTTAATAATCCATTTGTTATATATGATTTATTATACTTTTATTATTTTATTTTTATGTATCCTATTTATTGTTGATCATAATTTTTTTATCGATATATAAGAAGATGTATCATATGTGGTAGAAAAGGAAAAAGGAATTGATGAAACAAATCTCTTCTTTTTCAGATTTCTGTGGTTATATGGATAGCAACCGTGACAGCGACATTGGAATCTGATTCCAATGAAAACTGGAGCAACGAAAAGGTAAATGTAAACTTTTCTATTATAATATACAATTTCCAAATTTTTTTCCAAATAATTTTATTTTCCCAATGATGATTTCAACTGCTTATTGCTTATTGAGATATATTTGTATTCAATATATATATTTGTTTCAAATATCCAAATCAAACGTTACAGAATCTTATACTTCTATTTATATATATTTTTTTAATTAAATTATTTTTTTCTTGATTATAATTTTTATTTAATATTATATATAATTTTTAATGTTAATTTTATTTCGATTAAATGATTTTTCATTTTTATTTTCTTTTTTAAATTGAATCATATTATTATTATACATATTATTATAAAAATTTATATTTTTTGTTATCTTATAAGAATTAAATAATATACCTCTTCATCAAAAAGATATTTTATTTCATTTAAAATTTTTATTAAATTTGATAATATTTGTTATAAGAAAACAGAATTCCTCTTCATAACGTAAAAGTTCAGATTAGATAACAACTTGCAATCCGAGAGAATTTCAATTATCAAATAGGAGAAACGATGCTGTCGAGGACGTATTAATATCGTATCTATCTCGAGAAATTTACCAAACCATTCATTTTCCATCCCTCTTCAGTAGTCTTCATAACTTAGAAAGTTTTTCTTATATATTTACGATGAAATTAATGCATCGCATATTATTGCTCATAATACTTAGGTGGAACTACTGACCACTAATTCACCAATTTCTTGACGTGACACTGATCACAAGAAAATAATTAGTTGTCAAGAAATTTTATTTCACTAATGTCAATAAATAAGTTGATCGAT